TATTTAGGCAAGTTACGTCTATTGACATTAGTTAACTTATGTGTTAACTGACGTACGTAGTTATTTTAACCCAAACCATGATCTTTTCCTAACCTTAAGCAAGTAGTTTTGTTGCCTAAACCCAACCAAGTACTTTTTGTGCATAATCCTAACCAAACTGCAACTTTTCAAGACTTGGATAACGTGCCGTTTCAAAATGGCAATGTTTCGAAACCCTAGCGTTTTTTTTTAAAAGTCTAACCGAATATTGCATATTTATTGTTGCTAACTTTACCGGCAGTTGTATATTTGTTGTTGCTAAGCGTTGCTAACTTGAACGCAGAGCCCTAAACGTAAATAAATGACGCAAAAGGGGTACCCAGGTCGTTAAAAGCATCAATATGTGATGAGCCGGGAGTGAGAATGTGTTAGGACATAGTTTTTATCCGAAAGCAAGAGAGAGTTAAACCTCCAAAATCTATAGCCGGGTGGTTTTTGCACAAAATGCAGGCCCAACAATAACGGTTCATGATCAGAAATTGTAATACTGTCGTATGAACAGGATTTAATGGTCAGTAACAGTTTTTGGTCAACAAAGAAATAATCTAATCTAGAAAAAAAGTTGTGTATTGGGGAAAAAACTAATATTGACGTACAGTACGGTATAGGAAATGCCATGTGTCCGCAACTCCTTAGTTGTCAAGAAAAGACTGAATAGTTTTGCCTGTTAGAGACAGCCGAACAGAGACATCTGGACAAAGTTAAATTGAGTTGTCAGTTATCTTAACTTCTCTTGCTTGGTTGTTTACTTAGCACACAGCACTCATGGTGGAAACAAAGTTTTTGATGTGGCAAAGAGAAACAAAGGAGAGATGGCTGTGTTCTTCCTTTTGTCATGAAATAATGTGTGCACTGGTTGTTCACTACACAGATTACGTTATTCCAAACACAGAGAGAGCAGCATTGTAAAGTTGTCGTTTTTTCCACTTATAAAACTCATCACATTTTTAATTACCTGTAGCCTATATTATCCTTAGTATTATGTCTTATAGACTCTTACTTTACCTCAAGTTTCTCCTAACAGATTATTGCATTTAAGTAGCAAACAAGAAAAACAGGATGGAGGAGAAGGGTTATATTTAATTTACTCTGTAAAACAGTATCAGAAAATGAGCTGGAAAACCATATTAGTAGCAGTCATGCACATAACTGAATGATCTGCAGATCAGATTAGTATCACCAGCATATGGGCAGCATACTGTGCGTTAGTATTATTTCACAAGCTGGCCATCTCTGGATAACTTTAGGCAAATGTTGTTGACAATGCAATATTAAGTTAGTCACAAGATTTCAAACACTGATATGGCTAAGAGTAGTGATGTGCGATACCACTTAATTCCTATCCGATCCAATACCAAGTAATACCCAGGCTGGTATTGGCGATACCCATACCAATACTTTTTACATATTTTATTTCTAGTTTAATGTGACCTCCCTCCTCCCATTTCTGTATCTGAGAGAAATAAGGAGTAGGCTGTAGCCTTACCCATTCAAAATAATAGCTGCATAATGACAAGACATCAAACTACTGTCATATTCTTTAATTATAATGAAAATATCCTGCTCAGAACTGCCGCTTCATAACATCATCTTATTATTTTGACTTAATCTCAGATGTTTAGCGAAGTTTGGAGTGTTGCCAAAGTATTTCACTGTCTTTGCACACACATCACACACAGCGTCATTATTACCTTCACAGCTAAAATACAGCCAGACGTCAGCATTCATTTGCGGGAAATGTAAAGGTCTGCAGCGGCTCACTTCAAAAAAGCTCCGTCACAGAGCCTTAGCGCAAGCATGACTGTGACAGGTGGAAGGAAAAGTAGTTCCTATCAACCGAGTAGTTAGACCATCCTGGTGACAGTAAGATACTTATGATAAAACACACACTCACTCCATATTACTGAGTTTAGATATCGATCCTTTTATGAGTATAGATCCTAGAGCAGGAAACGTTGGTATCAGAAGTATCGATACTTTAGGATTGATCCGCACATTAATAGCTAGGAGTGCTCTTTCTCAAGCCAAATATCTTTGTTTCACAGAAACGGGAATCAAGTGCCAAATATCAGAATAAGGCAGAACAAAGATTTAAGACACTGGCACTCTATTAACGTCTCTCGAGCTATTTAACCAGTTTTCTTACAATATGAGCTGTTACCAATGGAAATAAAGTTGTTTTAAAATGAGGCACTGTAGATCACTCTGTCATATGGGAAATATTTATCAAATCCGACGACCAGTATCATAGATGTACTAAGGGTGATGTTTTTTGGCCAACGGTAAACATCACAAAATACAGCAAAATCTAAGATGTAAACTAAATTCCTTTTTATATAAAGTTACTGGGTTGTGGAGTCGAGCTAACAGTGTTTATACATTGGTTGATTTTCTCACATAGGATATGTGAGGTCTTGAAGTCTTTGTCATAGAGTAAAGAAATCAAGCAGTTGTTGACAGATTATCAGGGATAAAGCCAGTTTACTGGCCATGGCCATCAAAAATCTACCAAACAAAGCAACAAGATTAGAACAATGCCTGCCCTCAGGAAACCTTCCAAATTGAAGAAAAAAAACCCAACAAATTGCCTACAGACAGATTACCAGCTTTGCATATTTGAATTGCCGTAGTCTTGAGTGTCTTTGGGCCAGTAATTTGCATAGTAGCTGTCTTGCTCAGTGAAGTCAATTGGCCCCAAAAACTGATGCTCCATGTGCAAATACATGTTTTTTTTGGCAGCCTTTGCTCTCCACATGGGTTGGCATTTTCTGACCGTTCGCACATGAACACCATCGGGCTTGTCAGTAGTCTAGCAGATTCTCTTGATAGTGTAGTCCTGTAATCCAGGCAAATCAAATCACCGTTTCGGCTCACTGCTCATGTGCAAATAGGAATGCTACTGGTTTAACTGCAGACACAGACGTCATCATCACCACAGCAACATGTTTGTAATTGATCAGAATATTGAGCAGTTTTCTGCAGTCTGTATCTTCACATGTTTGGGACCAATACTTTTCTGAACCATGCATTAACCAGCAGCCCTCATATATTGTCAAATTCATACCATTTAATGGTTCTTTGCTCCCACCAACTGCTGATATGTGTAACACCATAAAATAGCGCAAATCTGCGCCTTTAGATTTGTAGTAGACATGGCCAGTCTTTGGTGAACAATTTTATGTCCCAACACATCAAGTAGTTTGACATGCAGACCTAGCTAGTTAAGTAAGTAAAGTTAACCACTATACCACCTTGGTGCCCCTTACTTTACACTTTTATTGTTTAAAGGCCCTTTCAGAAACCACATGACAACGGTACAACTGCACTCTGAAACCCAATATTACCAATGGCTTGCACTGCACCATGGCGGCTTTTCACTGCCCATCAGCGTGCTGCTCGCAACTACATCAAACCATTTCTAGTATTCTACCCCTGGATTAAAATAGACATGCATGGTCCTAATCTCTGCCTTTCTCCAAATATTTGAATATGTGACCACCACTTTGTCACAGTCAATAACTGTCAGAAGAAAGCTCAAAACATGAAAACCCCTCATGTCATGAGGCTGACACACAACATCACACACTTTGCAAAAGCAAGTTTTTCACAGACTTCCTCTGTGGAAGATTGAATGTTTTATTTTTTTTTTCAATCATAATGAAATTTGCCTTTATAGAGGGTTGCAACATGACGGAATGAGTTTCTCTCCTGCTGAATGTTCATTTGCGGATTTGTTACTTAGCTTGCTATTCATGGCTTCATACTGAGGCTGACAGGGTTTCAAAAAGTGATGACATACATTGACACCTGGCCAATGACACAGTCAGGCCGGTCTTTAATCTTGATTATTAAAAATGAAATTCTCTGTCTCTCTAGAAAAGCATCAGCTTTCCAATTATAAGTCATTGTGCTAGTGAGCTTGCATGCTATGATGTAGGCAGTGTTGCAGGTTCAACTGCAGCAGTTCATTCTGTATTGCAATATGGTGTTTTCACACTATTATATAACTGATACAAAGACCTAATGAAAGTTGTGAAGTACCACAGCTGCCTTCCTTCACACATGTTGTGTAACTCCCATGTCAGTGAGCTGGTGTTACTAGCTAAGAATAGACTGCACATTCCAGTTTTCCAGCAAAAATATTTTTTTAAATTCTTCAGATTAAAACATTAATGTTGTTAAAACAGGAAGAGATCTTAAATACCTGATCAACAGGAGCTTCAGTAGACAATAAGACAGTAGGAGTCGAGTAAAGTTGCAAAGTTGACTTACTTTTGATTGGAAATCTTCTATTATTAATGCTGCTCCCTTCACCTACACATGAAACCCACAGCTGAAAGGCAAAAGGTATTTTTTTATAAAATGCCCAACTGAAATCGATTGGACTTGCTGACAGAGTTGATGTTGATGATAAGTGATCTAATGTTTAAAAATCCACATTTAATTCTCCTATTTCTTCATACTATTGCAGCAGTGGTGTTAATTTTTCTAGAGACCACTGAGGTTTTTGGTTACTGCTCCAGTGGAAGCACAGAGAAGCGTGTAAGACTGCAACTCTTCCTCCTGGTCTCAACTCTAGATTTCATGTTTAATGTAGATAGTATTTTGCTAGGCATGCTAATGCGTGCTGCAGATATTCATTAATTCCTTACACTTCACATTGCTTGTGGTTTTAAAAAAGATTTTTTTAAATTGCTCTTAGTAGTTCCTTGTGCAAACCATCTTTGGCATGTGGAGAAATCCTTCCTACAGGCCTGCCATGCTTGTTACAGTTGCTTTGCTGTGATTGGACAATCGTTACATGAGGCAGGACACCGATTGGTCAGTTGACAGAACACAGATCATCAAAATGAGACACGCTTGCTGTGTCAAGTGTTAATTTCAGAATGAAACTTGCTTCTCATGTCAAGCATTTTTTCCAAACAGAATTCTAAATGATCTGTATTTGATCTCCTCTGCAGTGTTCCATCCTAAGGATGGAGAATCTGGACAACATGGGCGAGGAAGGGATAGAGTTGGAGGGATCAGCCACCACAGCAGGCGTTATAAACACCAGCCTAGATGGTGCAGTAAACGTCACCAACATTACCTTTTCCCCCTACTATCAGCACTCTCTGTATGTGGCTGCCAGCTACATCCTGGCCTACTTCTTCATCTTCCTGTTGTGCATGATTGGGAACATCCTGGTGTGTCTGATCGTACTGGAAAACCGTCGCATGCGCACAGTCACCAACCTCTTTATCTTCAACCTGGCAATCAGCGACCTGTTGGTGGGCATCTTCTGCATCCCTACAACGTTGGTGGACAACCTAATCACTGGTAAATACCCTGTCATAAGTCCTCATCTATGCCATATTTACACTCACGATTGTGTGGCAGTAAAGTCGGGTCTAAGTAATCCTAGACACAACTGTCAGGGAGTGTTGTGATTTCCTGTTTTGTTTTGGTAAACCCTTCTTTACCCCTCTTGTGTCTTGGGGCCTAGATTAAAGCAGGTTCAACATACCCAGGAAATATTTTTATCTGGCTTCACTAACCTTAACAATGGCGATAATGGTAAGCCGTCACATGATGGTGGTTATCAACTGTAAGTGAACCCAGGGTTTCCAAATCCAGCCATCAGCATCCATAAAAGGGCAAGTGTTTGTAGCAGATGACCAATCGCAAAAATGGACAAGTCTACTGGTAGTAGAGTGGCATATTTTTACAAATGTAAAGCAAACCATAATATATAAAAAGAAGTTATACAGATAATCCAGGCTAAAAGCAACACAGATGCAGCTGCCACACGAAGGAAGACGAAAAATTGCATGCTGTGTGAAAGCATCACTGCCCCATCATTACGGCACTAGGAGATCTGACTATAATTACATTTGTTTATCATTCAGTTAATGTGGGTTCTTCATTACAATCAGCATGGGCACTGTGGTTTATGTTAAGTTGATGGAAAATACACAGTCCCGCTGCATTAAAATCCAGTGCTGAAAATAGTCCCCAACAAATGCACTACTCCAGTTTGAGAATTGTATGCTAAAAACTACAACGCCCAGCTGTTTCAGGATTTAAAAAAACAAAACAAATGTAACCATATATTTGTGACCTATTTTTAAAGATCTTTAGCTGAAAGGAGTGGTGTTGGGGCTGAGAGCAACAGACAGGCTTTTGTGAGAAGAGCGGAACAAGACAGTGATTTTCAATTTATTGAGGCATATCATTTATATGAATATACTCTATCTCTGTCCGTCTGTCCACTAGTCAGAGAACTATAGCTTGGGCGCATCTTGCCGTCTGAGCCTCGTTGAACGAATAAATGAATTTGTCTGAAGTCCAGACCAATTTGTTGCACTTTACGCTTTTTATTCTGGGTTCTCACACATACAGACAATCCCGGTATCAGTCCGTCATCAGTGTATGGAACGGCACTTGTGATTTCACAGCATTACCACAGGTGTTGGTAACCCCCCACTCCGTCAAAGAGGATCAGATCATTGGAGGCCACATCAGACACAAAGTGCTGTTTCTTAGGAAGCACTGTCTCCCATAGCTCGTCTGAACTGATATGAACTAAATTTAAAACAGACTGCAGAGAAAATAAAATTAAAATAAATGATACAGACAACACATCTTAATACCTAATAAAAGGTGTAGCTATAGCAGATGTATGGATCTGACTAAAAATGTATTCCATGGTTTCAACATATAACAACATACATTTGTTACTTTGTGTTATACCTGTTGTCACCCAATTGATATTGTATTACCTACAACTACATCAGACAGGAACATTTTGGCAGGACTACCGCATCTTTCAGAAGTGAACAGGTGTATTTTTTATTTTCAGTTTTTCTCCATTGTTTTCTATTGTGAGGAACAAATGGGAATCGATTTACATAAACACCAAAACTGTGGTCCAGTTTACAAAATTCACTCTCCAAATGATAGCACAAAACTACTGACACCAGGCAGCAATTATTATTTTTCAACACTGATCAGTTTACAAGGAGAGAGAAAGGGAGAGAGAGGGAGGGAGAGAGAGAGAGAGAGAGAGAGAATTTTAGCAGCAATGCAATTCAAAGTGCTTTCCACAAAATATAAAGGCAACATGGGGGGGGGGAATAAAACTGGTTAATTTACCCAGTAAACCTATATGTTCACCCATAATTCTGGGTTATGAATAATCAGGCTTTTCATCCTCCATTATTTGCTTTCCCATCTCTCACACCACTCAAACCCCGTTCAATTTTTATTTCCCGTCACCATGAATCAGATTGTTTGCTCTACAATCTTGGTAAACAGTCAAAACAGCAGAGAAAAACGTTCAGCTGTACTCTGCCCGGACACACCATGACCCAGAGAGCCGGGAACTATACTGAGAGTGTCTTTTTGGCCATGTTAAGTAAGAGTTGGTCTGACTACTTATGAGAGAAACCAACTGAGTTTCAAAAGCAAGGAATATCTGATTTTAATAAAATTTGATTTATTAAAAGGCAGTGGTAAAAAAAGTTTTTACACTTGATTTAAAAGAAGACAGTTTCAACACACCTGGGAGTTTGTTCCAGATGCTGCTTCTCCATGTTTAGTCTTTAACCTGGGGACAGAAAGCAGACCTGTCCCAGACGACCTGAGAGGTATAGATGGTTCATAAAGTAGCGGAAGATCAGTCCACCTCAGTAAGTATGGCCTGGATACTTTCCATTGCAATGCTGGAAAATGTGTCAAAGACATTAAGGACGAGAGAACATTGATATTCCTGGATGGGCATACAGTAGAAGCTCTGGAGTTCTGTAGTCTACCTCTGCAAGAAACTATTATCTGTCTTAGGGACAAAATGGAGAATATTGTGAGCAGAAGAATCTTGGGTGAAATCTGTACTCACTGTGCTGTCCAAACCATGTTATCCAGAAATTAATTAAAAGTTGAGTGAATGTATGGGTATGTAAGTACATTGGAAATGATATTGTGCAGTAATCAGACAATTTTAATCTACCACACCTGGACCTGGCCATACAACTGTTAGAGAATAGTCTACCTTTTACCGTTTCATAAGCGGATTGATTTAATGAGATTCTATTACTATAGTCTGGTATTACGGATGTGTAAATATCCTCAAAGCAGTATGAAGCATAAAGTTGCCATATTTACATTCTACAGCTACCAGAAATAACAAATGCATTGAAATCAGAATATGTGATTGTTGGTGTGGCAGCATTGAAGTTAAAGGAAGGTATCTTTAATGAGTTACAGAAATATGTTCTATTGTTAATTAGTAATGTACTTTTTAAATGAGTAATAAGTAAAGATGTTATTTCCAAATTTAAGTTACCCAACACTGTTCATTGCCTTGCTGCAATGTGTTTATTTTTTAGTGTGACTCCCATCGGTTCAGCTGAACTGTGGGCGACAGTGCTGACTAATGAAGCGCAGCGCTGTGTTCCTGCTATGTCAGGCTTCCTGTGGTTCAGATTGATTGCACTGGATGATTGCTTACACCTGTGGTAGGGTGTTATAGCTCTGAAACCATTTGTGTCTTTTCAGCCACTGCTCCATTAAAGGGATAGTAAGTGATTGTAATCAAATACAGTTTTTGATCTATTTAGTGAATATAGCCTCATGTTGTGTGTGTGCACTCCTATATAGCCTGTAAAAGGAAAACAAAAAATGATGTGGATCTTGCCACACAACATTGTTCCGGCCATTCACCAACAGGTGGCATTGGTCCACGAGCACAGTAGTGATGGGGGAGGGAAGCAGTGGGAGAGAGAGAGAGTTCTATACACCGCAACATTTTAACTTGCTGGACTCCAGGCACTGAAGAAAGAAGGTGGCCAACAAACAGCCAAAGGTCTAAAGAGTATAAACAAACAAAAAAGTTATGGCCAGAGGTCCAAAAAACAAAGGCGAGGTTCTGCGGGAACAAGAGTCAGGAACAAACTCAAGTAACAGAGCAACACAGGATACATGCAACAATGAACCAACAAAGACTGACCAGAACACAGGCATTGAAATACTGAATGAATGAGCAGCTAAGTGAGTGAATGACATGAGCAGCTAATTAGGCACAGCAGACACACAGTGAAACGAGACAGAGTGAAACCGCAAGGTAACCAAGCAGGAAACTAATACAGGACAGAATAAAGAATAAACCAAATGACTACAAACACAAGCAGACACAGATCCATAAACAAAAGTACATAAACAAAGGCAGTGGTAACAAACTAATAATACAACAAACAGAAATACACTAAGCTAACAACGGGAGCAAAGCTAGACAAGAACACCAGGCAGAGAAGATTACAAAATAAGAGGAAACAAACATGGAGAGACTGCAAAATCAGAGCAGGGACAGGACCAAACAGGAGACAGGACTACTTGGAGACACAAGACTAAGGACTAAAACAATAAAACACAGACGTACACCTAAGCGATAAGAGACAAGACAGATACTAAGAAAACTTAAACATGCGAATGAACCCAAAACATGAATATAGCTTATAGAAACACAGAACCCCAAACCAAACCCATGAGACCAGATACTAAGTAAACTAGAACATGTGAATGAATAAAATAATAAACAAGGCTACACAGAAACATACCAAAAACAGACTAAAACAGGAAAGACATGAACACAAAACCACACTCCTAACAAATGATTTTCACAACCCAAACACGTAATCTCTCCTAATGGGGAAACGCTAATTCACCCAGTGCTATTCAGTGTTCATTTTTACGATCCTGACTGCCCATCCACACATCACATGCAATAACAACATCAGTGACATCAAAGTGAAATGTCATTAAGGAATGTGGTTAGAAAAGCGCTTTATAACCGTGAAGGGCAGAGAGTTTGATTGCGCATTTGATCGTTTTAAATAACTAAACGACTCCCCGAAACATTTCTGACACATTGCCCATGTCTGCCAGATATCTAGCATGCCAAATATCAGGAAGAATCAGCCGACTTGACATCCACATCCAGCCAATGAGAGCAGGCAGCTGGCAGAGCAGGCAGCTACTTTTCACTGCAAAACAGTTTTTACTCGTATGTATTATTATTTTTTTCCTCTGTAGCTCAGACAATCCCTGCTACCTGCATGTGCTAATCCATTCTTTCACCCATATTCTTTGTCTTTATAATTGCTATCTTTATAATAACAAACAGCTGTTTCGTGTGTAGGTTCGCCACATTTCACGTGTTTTCTTAACATGTGGTTTGAAGGCCAGCGTCGGGTGACAGAGCCGCTGTCAGCTCGTGTAGTGTGTGACCCCCTGTCACCGATCAGTCACATAGTGTGAACGCCACAATGAATTCAGACTCCTGTCACAAGATGGCAAGTTGTTGTCATTTGAAATGAGAAAGGATACAGGCAAGGGCGAAAGACATTCCAATTTCACACAGATATGCAAGACGCACTGGATGAACCAGGTACATAATTTGTATTCCCTTGTTTGAAAAGAGCGTAAACTAAATAATTTAAGTTGTGTTTAAATATTTATTTACACAAACAAATAGAAACTCTTTTTAGTGACTGCTTGTTCCAGCTGGGTCGGTGGTGCTGCAGCTGAGCAGAAGCTGACTGCGCACAGCCCTGCCGTCTCCGCTGTACCTCGTGCCTCTCAACCCTCAAGTGGCCGTGATGCAGTCCTACAAACACAGAGATTCCATCAACTCAATTAACGAGGTTGCCAAGGAGATCAGGTCACTGCATCACATCCACACGCTGGCGCATGGCATGTGATAACAATAAATGAAACTGTGCACTTGTATTTGCTCGACTGAGGCATCGAAACATCAGTTTAAAAGCAAGTCATCCTCCTGTTCACCTTATTTATGAGCAAAGCTTGACATTAACACCCGCCAACCCGCCAAATGTGGGTGGATTTCAGCTGTGGCGGGTAACGCTGTCACTCCCACTAGCCACTTTGGCTTTGTTGAAAAATTGTAGTCTTGCTAACAAGCATCTGAAATAACAAACAAATTGCCATGTGACACTACGACACTACAACTCCCATGAGTATTAACTGTGCATAGTGTTTGCTCACTGGTCCAGTCGTGAAGCCTATTCTCCTTACCAACAACACTGTAAACAAGAAGACATTGTGGAGATTAAACTAGCGGACTGGCACACCGGCAGATTTTCCCTGTGGCCAGACGGCTTTTTAGTTAATTATCAATTTGTCCAGCTGCAGTGATGACAAAGCAAGCTTTTTTAATAGCAGGCGAATCCACACAACTGTCGCGTCTCACTCTCTCCTGCAATGCCGCCGCGCCAGGGTGCACACGCGAAATAATGACATCCAGACTTTTGTCAACCGAGAATACAAAAGGTAAATCCGTCACAGGCCAGCCACAGTCCTTTAGACCTGTAGACCATAAGCCCCCCCGGTCTGCTTTTAATTTGATGGTATGATCTCTCAGGGTGCCAACTACGGAGGAGCCAGGGGGAGCTTAGCTCCACTAAATAAGACATCAGATCCCCTAAAAGCATGATTTGAGATATTTTGGGGGGTCTCTAAAATACTGACAGCATGCTTTATTGCCATTAATTTCTATATTTCGCCATCATCATGGATCCATGCGTAAAATCAGGAGCATCCGACTTCATCCAGCCAGAGGGATTGATCACCAACAGTCTGCAGCAGTAAATTGTTGTCACACGTAATTCTGCTGGTTTTGGGTGTTTTGTTAATGTCTCTTGACCAATCTGAAAACCATTTGAAACACTTGACATCTGCTGTGTCGATTTTGGTGGAGATTGATTTAGCATATTTTGAAAAATATAGAATGACTGACTTCTGAGTTGACCATAGTTTGAAGTGAGGCAAAAGTTTGTCACATATGAGTGGATGTGCAAAAAAAAAATTCATCTCTCTAGGATGACCGGGTGATTTTCACAGACGTTTGGAATGAGAAATGTCTAGCAGTTTACATTTGTCATAATAAGCCACGGCCACGTTGAGCAATCATTACCGAATGTTATGGATCAACTGAGTAGCGACCTTAAATCGTACAAACCAAATTTTGTATGAATCCATGCAGTGAATTTAATTACGAGGTATTTGGGTGGAATTTACAACCCACCTGCCAATTTTGGTGAGTTTTAATCCGGAAGTTCTTACTGAACAGTTTTGCAGCAAGAAAGAAAGACTAATGAGAACAAAAATAGGGCTTTCCTGCTAGACCCCCCCCTCCCCCCCCCTCCCCCCCCCCCCCCCCCCCCGGCCCCATCGCGCCCCGCGAGTCGGCCCAGGCGCCCCACTGGGCTCGGGAGGCCCGTGGAGAATAAACGACCAGAGTTATAAATGAAAGGGGCTTGCCGTTATGGAGATATAAAATGTATATCTATGGGAGTGTTATTTGATTTGCAATTAATAGCACCACCTAGAGGCCGATTGACTCCACATTTGACACAGCCCCTCGGGAGGGCGTGCCAGATAAGTTCCCCGAGTTTGGTGTAGATTGGCCATTGAAAAGGTAAGATCTGACATGACACCCTGTTTTTAGCGTTTGCGCAAAAATGTATTAGCATATAATTCGGCTGTTTTTTGGTGGATCAAAATTCCCTCTACAAACTTATCGGCTTGGTCCGGAGATGGTCCGTGCCAAATTTTGTGCCGATCAGATTTGTCTATGGAGGAGTTAATTAATTATTAATTAATTATAGGTTTTCCATTTTTCGCGATTTAGCAAAATGAAAACGTCATCGCACAGAGGCGTGTGCTATATCATAGGAATCGGCAGCATTCCCCCAAACACGTAAACATAAGGTTTATGAATGTGCCATGTAGTGGCGCGTAGTTATAAGGCAAAATGTCCTTTGGTTGAAAATCCCATTGAAATGAATGGGATTGTCTGACTGTATTTGAGCTTCGATTATAGCACCACCTTTTGGCCAAATTGCACCAACATTTTCAGGTGTGATCAGGGCCCCATGGAACCGTTGACCCAAATTTGGTATTAATCGGAGTTGTGGTTGTGGAGATATAAAATACATGTAAGTCGATGGGATTTTTTTTCAATAGTGCCAGCTAGGGGCTAACTGTACTAAATTTTGCACAGCCCCTCAGGGGGGAATGTCACATAAGGTCATCAAGTTTTGTGTTGATCGGCCTTTCCAAACCAGAGAGATGTTATAGTTCCTGTTTTTAGCATTTTTGCAAATATTTGTTAGCTTGTAATTGGCATGGTCCAGAGATGGTCCGTGCCAAGTTTCGTGTCAATCGGACTTGCAGCTTCGGAGGAGTTAATTAAAATAGGTTTTACAGTTTTTGTGATTTAGCAAAACGAAAAAGTCATCGCACAGAGGCGTGTCCTATACCATCGGCAGCATCCCCGAAACACGTAGACATAAGGTTTATGAACATGCGATGTATGGGCATGTAGTTTCATGTCCTGTTAGTAGCGTTTCTCGCAAATATTTGCTAGCACATAATTGCGACATTTTTTGTTGGATCAAAATTTCCTCTACAAACTTTCATCAGCTTGTTCCAGAGATTATCCGTGCCAAGTTTGGTGTCGATCGGACTTGCGTCTTCGGAGGAGTTAATTAAAATAGGTTTTTCAGTTTTTGTGATGTAGCGGGAAAAAAAAGTCAATGCGGAAATGGGCGGGGCCTATACCACGAGATTCAGCTCGATCCCCCGAACGCCCCCCGAGGTAGAAGTGTGTGGATTTTTGCGCCTGAGTTATGTGCAGTGAACTGGACCTACCCTAGGAGTTTTGCGTCCCTAGCAGTTACCGTCTAGGCCGCAGTATGAGTTTTATGCACGGAAGAATAATAAAAAAAAAGAGAACAAAAACAATAGGGTTCCCAGCTCCGCTGGTACTGGGAACCGCAATGCCTTGCATTCGCGGGTTCCCAGCCCACTCGGGCTTGGACCCCTAATTAGCGGGTCCTGAGAAGTGAGAAGACCTTAGCAACCTCCCAGACCACTGAGGTACACACTGCAACAAAGCAGGGAAGTTCTGGTCAGAAGCCTGGTTTACAGGATAATTAACAAAAGCCATATTTATTTTTTCCTTCAATGAATTGCTAAAAACAACGAGGTCTCATCTGGAACAAGTCTTTCGAAATCCAGCCTTCTCTCCTGCAAGGACTCAGACTGTTTCTATAAAATGTTGGCTTGGTATTTATTGGAGCAGTAAAGAGCAATATGAACCTAGTATCTAACATAACTGTTTGTTTGACAGAAGACAATTTTTATATATATATAAATCTACAATTTCAGTAGTTAACTGCAGGATTTAAAGAAAAGTGTGTTAAATGGCAATATTTCCTATGTTTTTTGGCTTTGTCAGCATTACTTTACTTCTACTTTGTTCTTCTTGAGATAAAGTGCCATCATGTGTTCTGACTTTTGACAAATGTGTACACATTGGTTTTTTGTTTACTTTTTTTACTGGACAGTGTTTTATTCATCTGTCCAGTTTCTTGTGGACTTGTTTTTAACTTTAACTTTTAAACAGTCTTTAGATTGCTGTTGCAATCAGTAATGATCTTGAGATAGTCAATACATCAGGCTTTATCTGGATAATAACGTATGGTGGAACTAAGAAGGGACTGTATTTTTTGATAAAAAGATGTTTGCTTGTTGCACTGCAACCACCACCTTGAGGTCAATGTTTACTGCTGTCAGTGTTTCTCTCTGTGCTGCTCCTCTGCTACTGTCCCATAATGTGTTATTCAAGCAATTTACCTGAAAATGAATTAGATATACTCATTGTGTCAGGGGTGTTCCATCTCCATGAAGCATCAATTTCAGCTGTGGCAGGAATGATACAACAATGAACATGTGGGGAAAAGGAAGCAAGGTGTAAAGTGCAACTTCACAATCTAATTCTAAACCCTAATGTAATCTGAATTTCACCCATTTTTAAGTCTAACCCTGACTTTATCCATTTAAAACATAGGTTTAACAATATCTTGAACTGCCTTAATTATAAACTACTGTTAAGGATTTCTAAAAATCCTCAGTGACAATTATGTCACTGTTTTCACTGAGTTCCAAGCACCAGCTACACTACGCTAATGAGCGTGTAATTTTTTCAACAGGTTGGCCCTTTTCCAACACCGTGTGCAAGATGAGCGGATTTGTGCAGGGGGTGTCTGTTTCCGCTTCAGTCTTTACCCTGGTGGCCATTGCTGTTGAAAGGTTAGTATATCCTGAGGTGTGATACCTAATCAGTTAAAATTAGTGCAAAAACTATGACACAATAAATAAATTATTCAACTGACAAAAAAGTAATGGATGACTAGTTTGATTGCTCATTGGAGTCATTCATAAAGTAGCAAGAATAAGAGTCAGCCAATAAAAGCCATGCTAGCAGCTCTGTGAAGCTATATTTAGGCACAGTGGTGCTCTGAGCTTAATGCTAACATCAGCATGGCAAAATTATTAACATACTGATGATTAGCTGGTATGTTTACCTTTGGATGTATTACAAGCACTGGATACCAGACTTATCTGGCACCCAACTCTCTTGACTAAAAAATGCACTAAGCACATAAGACAAAAATGCTTTCCAGCTTCTAGGCTGGCTTCTTAATTTTGAGGCTCACTGCACATTGTAGCAGACCTAAATTTATTAGTTATGCATTTTAATAAATTTATGAGAATTGATACCCAATTATGAATTAAAATTCATAAAATCTAAATTTCCTCGTTAAGGGCACCACCGGAGTTGTTATAATCCTAGAGTCTCCGGACCTCTAGGTAGTTTGAATGATTATACAATTATTACTAGTGATCAGTTAGTTAATAATCGCTCAATTATCTTAAATCAGTCAGTCAGTCTCATATCTAAAGGGTCAGTTCTCTTGGCAGGAACTAGAAATAGGCAACACACACAGCTCTTGATTATATTACAGTGAATTTATTCTCTAACTAAGGTGATAAAAAGATGGTTGGATACAGGGAACATAAACATTTGCTGAACAATGAGCCTGGAGGTTCGATTGTGGGAAGCATTTGACTCATACGGCATAGAAGAGCTAATGAAAGTAAACTAATGCTATAATTTAGGAGTTAAAATGGGCATCTGATCACAGAACGTGTGTTAAGTCTTACTGCTTGTCGACAGCCTGCTTTTGGCCTGTTGCACGGGTCCCACGCTAGCTTCCCGATCCTGGCTTTTTGCTAGGGATTCTCCAGGGTTCTCCGTGTCTGATTGAAACGCCTCCTCCGTTTGGCAAGTCGGCTGTTTTCAGGTTTCCTTCGTTGTAGCTGGCGAGACCACGTGGCTTGGTCTGACCTCGGTGAAGTTGGCTCGACGAAAAAGGCTTAAAATGGAACGTTCCTGAATTAGTCCAGTGTAACTTAACGGACTGATAACTTTAACAAACAAAAGAAATTAAGAAATTAAAACAAACTGAAGGCAGATCGATGTCGCGGCACTTCAGGTGTGTAGCTTCAGGCGAACAAAAGGGCCTGTTTGTTTCGCTGGCCGAGTCTGGGCGTTGCCTGGCGAGGCACGCTGCGCGTGCCGAAGCATCCAGAGGGCCAAGCAGGGTGGAAGAGCCAACAGCGAAGAGAAGAGAGCAGCGAGGTCGCGTGTCGCTCTTTTGTTGTCTGGGGCGTGGTTCCCCAGGGGGCGTCTCAGGTTTCCCATGGGACTGCCTTTCTAAACTTAATGTCTAAAAGAAATCTATTTGCACGTATTATAATCAAATATTTTCCACAATCGAACCTCAATGGTCGAACGGTTGTACTGTTGTAGGCATTGGGTAACAGGAAACAATTGTCACATTATTGGTCAGGATATTTATACATTTAACGGCATTTCCGATGAGGGCATGTAATACTTATTTCGTCCACTTGGGGGAGCTCAGGTTACATGAGGAAAGCTTGGATTAAATCAAAGATCGTCTCTCCTTAGGAACTGGGAATTTGTTGATTCATCCTTAAATTCAAGCTGGCGATTAAGAGTATAGTAAAACATTTCTTTGTCATCATTTCTAAAGGAATTTTGTAAGAAAGTATTATGAACAAGCATTGATTACATTAGATGAAGGAGTGTCTTGCTGAAAATAAAAACTCTGCACAAGTAACTTTCTTTTCAGCACTAATATCAACAACAGTTAACATAACTACTCAAATAGAGGCAAACGTAATCAAGTAACTAAACATTTAATTAACTCAATTAAATGCTTTGAGTCTTTGGAGACTGCAGTCCTTTTACATTGAAAGTTCAGCAGGACTATGTCACACTTGGGTGAGACGAGGAGTATCCCTTTTTGATGTGGTAATAAAACAAAGAATAAGGTCAATTGCCACGGAAACGTGTGTGGGGGGGGCCAGTTTTGATAGGCTGTTCAGGGAGATGCCAATGGCTGGTGCGTGTCTCTTTGTCAGTTTAACAGTCAGGCCCCGCGTTATCAGCTTCGGAATCAAAAAGGTGCCAGTTTTATGGTCGGGATAGCACTTAGAGAAAGCAACTTTGACCCCTCCCCTTCTTCTCTGGGGAGGAGAAAGGAATTTAGAGTAGCTCCAAATTTATTCAATATAAAATGCACAAATCCACACCGTTTTTCACTACAACATGCACATTAGTGTTTCTCCATGGGACCATGGATCTGTACCAAATGGCCATCCATCAAACATGGTCACCCTATAGAAAAGTCAAGAGATCACCAAAGTCAGTAGAATTCATCCTCTGGGGACCATGAATGTCAGTACAAAATGTCATGTCAATGCATCAGATGGTTGCTGAGAGATTTCAGGCCAACATTGCCACACAGCTAACATGACTCAAACCAAACATTTGGGGTTTATAGCTTGTTACATATAAAGTATTTGGTTCCTTTACTTTGAACCCTTTTGATTACTGGCCAAAGAAAATTGAAAATTATGTTAATATGTTATGAGTATGTTAATTTGAGATGGGAATTCATCATGATTTAAAGACCGAATTAAGGTAAAAAAATAAGTGGAAGATTAATTAGTAATGTGTATTGATTATCCTTAGTTAAGGCTCTAGTTATAATCTAAATTCTTTTGCTCATGGTTGGTGTTTATGTCTACTCGTATAGGTAATTAGTGGCAATGCTCTTCCTTACTTATCTACTACAGGTTTCGCTGCATAGTGTACCCTCTACAACCCAAGCCGACTGTGCTTGTTGCCAAGGCAGCCATCCTGTTAATCTGGGTGCTAGCGGTGGTGATTATGTGTCCTGCTGCTATGGCACTGACTGTGGAGAAAGTACCTTTCCACTACATGGTGTGCGACGATGACTTTAACCACACATTCCCCCTGTACACCTGCTACGAAAACTTTGCCAACCCTCAGATGAGAAAGGTCTACACTGCGGTTCTGTTTGCTCACATCTACCTGGTGCCCCTGACCGTCATCACACTGATGTATGGAAGCATCGGGGTCAAACTGTGTTCCTCTGTGGTTAGAAACAGAGAGCCACAGCTGGCCAACGCAACAGTCCAGGTTGGAGGTAGAAGGGCTGGTCAGCCAATGATATCCCAGAAAAAGATCAAGGTGATTAAGATGCTCATCTTGGTGGCTTTGCTTTTCATGCTGTCCTGGTTGCCACTCTGGACCCTCATGATGATGACAGACTATGCAGGCTTGGACAGGGACCAGCTGGACCTTCTGACTAGCTACATCTTCCCCTTTGCCCACTGGCTGGCTTTCTCGAACTCCAGCATCAACCCCATCATCTACGGCTACTACAATGAGAATTTTAAGAGGGGCTTCCAGGCGGTGTGCAAGTCTAGGCCCTTCTGCTGCCTCAGGCAGTGCCAGCTGTGGAGGAGGTTAGCCAGGTTGGGCAGGAAGGAAAGGTCTATGGCAGCACCTTGTGGAGGTACTGAGTTCAGAGATGCCACTGGAAATCACAACCACCTTCTCTTGGGGCTGAGAAATCGAGTCCATAACGACAACAAGTTGACTGTCACAGCAGAGGTGAATAGGAGTGCGAGGGTGGCGTGTGAGACGGTTCACTCAGAGAGAAGTCTTTCAGATCGAGGGATAGAAATGAGAGCTGTAAAGAAGAAAGGCAGTAATGGTGAGGTATCAGAGAGGGTTAGTTCACTGGCAGCATCAGTATATCAGGCGTGGGATAACTGAGCATTCACAATGCTACTCAGAAATGAACCAGACAAAGTCCCACGGAAGAGACAGTTATCAATTATCTAATGCTGCAAGTGCGCTGTGGTTACTATTTGGAATGGTGGTTACACATTGCGACCTTAGATCTAGGCAGTGCCTCATCTAAAACATAAATATTTACATTACTCATGCTCAGCCAACCAAGGACAGAAAAGATGACACCGCCGGAGATGGGTCATAGTTTTCAATTGGTCATTGAATTATAAGGAAGTGAATAGTTCATGTGACTATCGTCTTGTCTTAAATAATACATTTTCCTTTTGTTTTTACCTGCACATCGCCACCAGGCGTCGGAAAAACGTGTGTGTGGCACGTTCAGTTCGGCTACATCGCTGTGATATGGGCTGGATGCTCAGGTTGCTGCCTAACAGTGTTAGGGTAGTGTGTGGTGTTTCACTGCTGCAGAGGAAATTAGAAAATGTTCTAATTTACGGTATGAATGCCACCACATCATCTCACTACGATCCTCCATCAGCAGAGCGGTCTCGACCCCCAGCTACGTACTTACCTACATTTACTTACTATTCACAGTCATTTGAGAGCGACGCACTCACTGCCCCTGCCTCTCTCTTTCAGTGTGTGTGTCTGTGCGATCTTGGTATAATGGTCGAATAGGTAATAGACTATCAAATGGTAGACACTGGAAGTGGCAGCATGGACCTTGGCGTTATTGTATTTTTGGACAATATTCCCTTACTGTAGATCAGCTTAACACGTACGCACCCCTACAACTGTACAGACAGCAGACATGAGCGATCCATTAGGCTTTACATTAGATTCCAGTAGCTGGTTTTTAACCATTGATAGAAGTTGGTCTAGATACACGTTAGTATTTTTTTTAATAATTTTTTTTTTGCCACTCTAGTTTAATCAACAGATGAGCTACACACATGTGTACTGTTAGCATGCCAACATGTTTAACATACTGATGTTTAGCTGGTATGTTTACCCATGGATTTATTACAAGCACCCAAAACAGGACTTATCTATCGCCCAACTCTCTTGTCTAAAAAATGCAGCAAGGCTGAGAGGAGGCAAAGAATCCGGCTCTTTTAATACAGACATGTTTACCATTCATCATCTTAATTTAGCATTCATTCAACAATCAACAGATGACTTTCACAAATGTGTACTGGTAGGCTAAGAACTTCTCGTGCCAATTTCATGTTGGGCAAAGTGCAAACTCCAACATACAGTACATGACCAAGGTAAGCAAAGCCTGTGGTTACTGCTCTCCTCTCCATGTCAGGAAATCGGTTGGCTGAGCATGTGAATCCAGAAGTGATGCAGTTCAGACAGGCTACGTGCTTAATTTGTTTTCCAGATCCAGTTTTTTTGTTTGACAGCTCACATTATTGCTTAAATGTGGCTCACATCAGACTCCAGTGTGAACTGTCCACAGCCTGAAAGTGACGCGCATGCAAAGAAGAACAACACGACGTCACACGCAGCAGCATGCTGTTGTACAGAAGTAAACAAGGAGCCACAGAGTTTAGCTCCGGTTAGCCCAGGTTAGTGCCTGCTTGCTAACCCTCCCAATTTTCATGGGAGACTCCCATTTTTCATTGTCCTCTCACAGGTCACATTTCTCCCGAATTATAACAAGTGCTCACAACTTTCTGTTCTTTTCATTACAGTTTCTGGCGCTGTAACGCAACTGCCCCACAACTCCATCCCTCTCTCTGTCTCTCTCTCCACTGTGTCCGCACGGACAAGTAGCATGCACATAACTCAGAAGAAAGCTCGCGGCCCGGTGGATTTTAGGTGTAAGGAAGGGAATTTGTGAGCAAGGTAGAGAGCCGCATGTTTACTGATGGCTTTATGTGGTGCTTTTCGTTCACTGCGGCTCTGTCTACAGCAGAACTGTGACAACATCTGCTCTAGAGTGACGTCAACGTCGCATCAATTCTGATCTGAGTGTCCAGACTTAGGTCGCATTTTGTCACTTGACAAATCCTTGCATCACCCATCACATTTCACTGCACTTCAATCATGGTGGTCTATTTAAAGGCCACTGACATGTGCTTTGAGCTGTAGGAGTCTCCACCACAGCACTCACATACTCTTTTTGAATGGACTCTGGAAGGCCTTCATTTCTAAACAGTTTTCTCAGCATGTTAGATCCTGATCAGACAGAAAGCGCTTTGCAGGTTCGAAAATGCCCGTCGCACAGAAAAGCCTTTTTTGGTTGAATTTGGAAAAGAGCAGTGCGCTGCATTTTTTTTCATGTTGCTAGGCAACCACCAAATCAGCTGTCCTGTCAGTCTAATCAAAGATTATAATGCCAGCGATCTGTAATCTTTGGTTTGCCTCTAAGTAATAACTAAGTAATGTCATATTAGCAGAAATTTGATCACAGATCACAGGTCTGTGTCTTTTGTTGCTAAAAACAGACAAACAAAATAGACAAACGGAGGGTGCCTGCTCTGGGATTGTTTGAGGGTGAGAGGTGTACAAACACGCAGGAGACAGGGAAACAGAGACCCGTGTGGGTACATGAGAGCCTCAGAAAGAGGAGACAATGCTGGTAGTACCACCAGTTGGTCCAGTAGCTGCGCCTTAATGATGGTTGGTTCAAGGCTTATTTTAGGATGACTCGGGGACAGTTTGTTGCAGTCTCCGGACAATCCAAGCAACTGTAAACTTCCGTCACCACAACTGAGGGCCTGTCTGTCCATTCATTCAATTGGACAATGGAAAAAACGTGAATGACGTTGGGCGTTTTCTGCCCAGAGTTGAATTTTTTCAACTCTGTGCACTCAGAGTGCTCCTTTGAGAATGCAAGGTGCAGCAGGCGCCCAAAACGCGAGGAGCACAGGGCGCGCAGAATGCTCACTGCCAATAGAATACAATTTTAAAAACCGCAAAAAATGCTAAAAGGCTATTGTTATACATCCAGGATTGGCCCCAACTGACCTGTGTAAACAGGAAATACAACTCAAAATAATACGACATTTGGGACATCTAATTTCAACTGCCATGCCTCCTTTCCCACTCTCACAACTATGTGCTGTAGATTATTCTTACACAGGTAGGTTGGTAACTTCAATGTAACTGTAAAGCACAACAGTTCTACTAGTTTGTGTCTATAGCAAAGTCATATGATGGATATCGTAACTTAAGACATCCAACAGTCACTAAAAGCTGTGCCTTCAAACAATAATTAAAATCTACCTCCACATAAAATAATTTATACAATATTGGTCAGCTACCTCAACTTCATCAGTGTACACATAAAATAACACCACCTGAAGTGTTTAGCTTATCAAAATAATATACTACCATGACACATTTTAAAACCTTCAAGTGGTACAAATACATAAGTAAAAAGCTAATTATTATTTTAACAATCCCAAATTTAAGTGCTACAATGCTTTCACTTCACAGGAATGTATTTCTAATTGCAACATTGTTTTTATATGAAGTGTTGCTGACCAACGGCAGTAATGTCCACACTTGAAGGCGTGATGAGTATAAATCATAAAAAAAAGAGATCTTGAGAGAGAAGTTCAAAACGTGCTGTGCACAGCTGGCCAATCAGAGCGTGAAGTGGAATGTCAGATTGTCAGTTTTAGAAAATTACACAAATTGTTGAACCAATCAGTATCAGAATGTCGGCACAATTACTGTGCTAATGTAAATTATTCATAAATATGGTTTGAAAACTTGCTTTAAACCCACAGTGGTTGAAAACATGTTGATGGACAGACTGACTTTAGCCAGAGATACGTGCCTCCCACTCTAATCTCACTTTCTGATACAGGCACAGAGTCTGGCTGTGTAATCTCCCATTCCCCGTAAATTACCCACTAAGCTCTACGCACTTGGTTTTGTTTGTTTCCCCAAGACCCAACTGAATATCGGCTCAGCCATCATTGTTGCTGCCGCATCACAAACTTCAGCTCGCCACAGTTTTTACTGCTAGCTTGACTGAAATTATTACTTTCTGGAGAGAATATCACTCTTTTCCCGGGAAAACCAAGGGTATTTGGCCATTAAGGAAATTTCGTTTTAAAGGGGCAATCAATCTATTTTACATTTACATTTTATTATTAGTTAAGATTACTCGTTGGGAGGAGTTCTTCTCAACTTGTGAAAAATGTTTTCTGTAGCTTTGCGAGGAGCTTTACATAATAAAAAAAAAAAGATGTCATGCTTGGGCTTTAGACTTAACACTTAACTTTTAAGAGAAAGCCTGCGTTACAAATTCAAGGTGTGAGGATTGACAGAAGTGGGCATTTAAGAGAAAGGGGAGGTCTAATGAATGACACCTTCCAGTTGCACAATGGGAAGAGTAGGATCCAGTGTTTTTGGAGCTTGACACATACTAGGGACTGAAAGTCAGGCTATCTCATCCTCTGCTGCTTTGATTTTTGATCTCTTTAAAAAAAAAAAAAAATTGTGAGTTGTACATTATATTTACTTATTTATTATATTTTGGAAATATCATACAATCGCATGACTGCACAGTGCTGCTAACAGGTGGTAAGCTTGACATTTGTCAGTGATATCTCTGTAGATACTTCAATACAGGTAGCTGTTGTTCACACAGCAGACATAAAATGTTCTAAAGCCATTTCTCACTAAAAGTACCAAGACAAAACATTAAGTTTCATTAACAAAATAAAACATTCTGACTGTTGCTTTCTATACCAACCGATGTTCAAAACTCAGAAGATATGCTGTTATCTCAAAGTAAATGACCTGTAATACCTTTACGCTCTAAATCTTTTGTGACATCATTTTTGTTATTGTGTTGCTTATAGATTAGAGGTGATTTGAGGTGTTTTGTTTATGACTGTGATATACAAAACACATCAAATGTTAGATCCTTCACCACTGCTAATGAGAATGTAATTAAGTGCAGATGTATCTACTACTAAGAGCCATTACCAAAAATAAATAAATAAATAAAAGAATAAGATAATAGAAGTAGGGCATATCCTTGCACATATGTTAAAGTTGGGATCCTTGTGTCTTTATTGCTAAGCAGTCACTGGTGTGGTGTAACTTGGATGTGTTCCCGGCTTGTGGCCTTGTCAACGTGTGCAGCATTGTTACTGTATATTAACAGAGCCTTAAGGAGGCCGTTTACACTCACTACTTTATATTTATTGTTAGTAGGTAAGTGTGTTGTTTACATATACAACCATACAAATGTCTTTCATTTGAGATTAGGGATGTGCTCTTTCCAAGAATTCCAATTTGCTTTGGAAATTTGAAGATGCCAGCTCAGGCGTCATGGACAAAAGATGTTTGCTGTACAGTGGGCTGTCATTTTGTTATTACTGTTGAATTCATATAAATGTATTACTAACATCAGAAGAGTGCACTCGACATTAATTGTTTTAGTGAAATAAGTGAATTCCCTGATGACACCTCAGGAGAAGCAAAACAGATGTTTCAGACTAATGTATGTTTGCTTGCAATGTAAAACCTTGACTGTAATAATGTTGTTCTATCTCTGTTGATGTAATAGGCTGTGACTGAGATGGGTTTTTTGAAGGCCAGTTCTGTTATTGATATTTCTGTATTGAAGCATCAGTGTTTTGTTCATATATATATTCATGTTGATTTTGGCCACGTTTGTGAAAAAACACATGAGAAATCTATATGGGCAAAGTACTTCTCTGTCCAGCTGCAGCCTCAAACAAACCAGCAGCATGTAGTCTTCTTGTCTATTGTCGCAAGTGATGGAAGATAATGAGCCACTTTGTCTTTTAACAAAACTCATCGTATTGCCTTTAAAAAGAGACGTGTGACTGTTGCAGCTTAGTGTAGCCAGGGCTAAAGTCCATCAACTTGGAGCAGTATCTAATCTAAGTATCCCTGCAGAGGAAGACATTTTGTCCACCTAAGTGTATTATCTACTAAATAAAGCATTGACCCTGGATGATTTTAATAAATAAAACAATCAATGGAAAGAAATTTAGGCTGTGGTGTGCACATCACATGTTCCACCTCACTCTGTCACTAAGGAAGTGCCTTAAACCTGCGTTCTTTCTAATGGTTGCAAAAAGTCTGGTTCCATTAGAAATAATGGTAAAATGACCCTACTTCTCAGCTGATTTATTACCTCAGTAAATACTTTCCTAATGAGTTTATGGTCTCGGTTGCTAGTTTCAAGACTTCTTCAAAACAGCATGATGTTCATTTAGTAAATTATGGTCCCAATTAGAGTGAAAGAGACAATAAAGCAGGGTATGCTTTAGGGTCGTGGCTTCCTTGGGATTGACAAATCGCTACCACTGCCTCACTTCCTCTGCAATCAGCTCTAGGTTAGAATTCCTAGTCCACATAACCTCTCTGTCCCACTCTAACCAGTCCACCTAACCTCTCTGTCCCACTCTAACCAGTCCACGTAACCTCTCTGTCCCACTCTAACCAGTCCACGTAACCTCTATGTCCCACTCTAACCAGTCCACCTAACCTCTATGTCCCACTCTAACCAGTCCACCTAACCTCTATGTCCCACTCTAACCAGTCCACCTAACCTCTCTGTCCCACTCTAACCAGTCCACCTAACCTCTATGTCCCACTCTAACCAGTCCACCTAACCTCTCTGTCCCACTCTAACCAGTCCACGTAACCTCTCTGTCCCACTCTAACCAGTCCACGTAACCTCTCTGTCCCACTCTAACCAGTCCACCTAACCTCTCTGTCCCACTCTAACCAGTCCACGTAACCTCTATGTCCCACTCTAACCAGTCCACGTAACCTCTATGTCCCACTCTAACCAGTCCACCTAACCTCTCTGTCCCACTCTAACCAGTCCACCTAACCTCTCTGTAA